TGTGGGCTGAGGAGATGCTTCTGTCCTTGAACCTTCTCATCCCAATCCATCACAGGTACGTCGGTGCTAACAGTGGTGATATATTGGGACTTGCTGAGAGGAAAGTGGAACTTCATAATGTGTTCATTTATTCCAGTGGGTAGAGTAGAAATGTTTTTTGGCAGAGCAGTATTGATTGCAAAACCTACTCTGTGAGTCTTGTTGTCAGTCTCTGGTTTCCCTTTCCAAAAGAACGTATATCCACTCACTGCTTCTTGTAATGAACCCTCATCTGCCAGCCTGGTCTCACTGAGTGCAGCAATGTCAATGGCCAAGTTTGGCTGCTATGAACGCTGTTCGTCTTTCAGGCCTTGTCTCTATCCAGCAAGGTACGGAAGTTCCAGGCTCCAAAAATAAGTTTTTTTAATTCTTTTTTCTTAATGCTCAATCACTAAGGAGATGACCTGCCAGCCACAGTTAGCTAGCCAGATGTTGTGGGGCAGAGAATGTTTAGGGTGCCTTTTTTAACCCACTCCCTCATGCAAGGGTGGGCAGTGCTATCCTGGAAGGGCTGTCCAGTTGCCCTGGATGTTGCCAGATGTCTCTGCTGCCCCGAGTACTGAGATGAATGACTGCTGGTCCAAGGGCTGCCCACATCCAGGTTTGTGACTACAACTGCCATTGGTCCTCTCCACCTGTTGCTTTGCCACTCCTCCACAGCCACAGGGCTCAATGAATTAGGTGTGGACTGAGATGATTTGTAGATGAGTTGCAGATGAAGATGAATTGCACAACAGAAACTTGTGCGTGATGAAGTTTTAAGTGGAGCAGCTGTTGCACAGGGGAAATCCCACTCTCTCGGCAGAAGAGACCTTAATCCAGTGGCACGGAGAACCATTACAGCTGGAGACCTCTCCTGCTGCAGTGGATGACTGGGACGTCTAAGTGTCTTGTCATGCTCTTAGAGCTCCACAATGCCTGCAGGGCCTGCCTTCTTGACCATTGGACCGTTGATCAGTCTCCTCCACTCAGTCTGCCAGGGCCAGACTTCACACACTGGGATAGACAAATCCCCTGTCTCACCAAGAGTTGAAGACCCGTCGGCTACCCTCACCTGGTTTGGCCCATCTGCCAAGATGGTTTACTGGGATGTGGCTGCTGCATGTGTCACAGCTACTTGGAGCCACAGGTGACAGCTGAGTGTCACGTAGGGACTAAAGGTGAATGAGCAGCCCTAGAAAGGGCATGGCAGTCCCCTCCACCAGAGGTGCCACCCCTCTCTGGACACCCCATACATCCCTTTACAATATCTATATTTTGGCTATGTCAACTGTGGATTTGCAAAAAAAAAGAAAAAAAACTCTTTGCTGGGCGTATGTTGTATCTTAAGATGTTTCTTGGATAATGGCTAGGTTCCTGGCTGGAGCTTGAATTTCCAAAGAATACCAGTCAAATATGTGATTCTTTTTGTTTCTTCTCTGTACTGTGTTAGAGAGACAGAGACAGTGACAGTGATAGAAGAGATAGAGACAGTGACATAGAGGAGATAGAGATGATAGAGACAGAGACACACAGAGAGAGAGAGAGAGAGAGATAAAATGCCAAAACAGAGGTAGGATATTTTTTGCAGCTGGGCTACATTTTCCTTTTTTGGGGTATAGGCAATCAAAGTCTGAAAATTCAACCCTTACAGGCAGTCCAGAAAAGTAGCATGATCAGTGGTACCGAAAGCAGTTGAGAGATCCACTAGGAACAAGAATAATGTACTCTTTCTCTGAAATGGGTCATCTATGAGAGTGTCACTGTCCTTCTCATACCCTGATCTGAACCCAGACTGAAAGGGATCTTGATAATCTGCTTCATTCAGGGTCCTCTACAGCTGCCATTCCATTGCCTCAACTCCAAAATGGTTGGATCAAGGGATGGACTCCTGAAGAGGAGAGCACCACCATCTCTTCATTCAAAAAGGGAATAACCAGTTCCCAAATCCAGCTCCTTGTCCCCTTCCTGGCAACTCATATATGGAGGAGCTGTTCCCACAGCTAATCCTATCCACTTCCTTCGAGTCCCCAGGTTATTTGTTTGTTTGTGAACGTATACGGCTGCCCATCTTATACACGATAATCCTAGGTGGTTCACAACAACAGCCAGTATAAACATAAAGATAAAACAACAGTCCCACGCCTTACAAAGAGAAGCTTTTGTGTTAACTCTGTCAGTCATTGGACCCTACCAAGCTAACATCCAATTCCAAGTAAATATGAGCAATTTTGTATGTGAAAAGCTTGCAAAAAGGTCACCAGGGCATGACCTTAGTAGTGCTAGTAGGACATGAAGGTAGTTCTCTGGACCTATCACTCCCTAACACGGTCTAGGTAACCTTAAGCAGAGCTTTTGAGCAGCATTCTACAGACCTGATAAGGCAGGGAAGGATTAATATTTCACCAACTTTTATCACCAATTCAGGACCGATCCTCATGTCTGGTAATATTCACTCCTTGTCATTCACTTCCATTCCTTTAGGTGCCTCAGTGGTTGTTTCATCTCCCAGAGCTCCTCAGTGAACTGACAGTAAATTGTTGGGGGTAGGAAAGCCGTTCCTGGAAAGGTCCTTTGCCTCCGGATAAGTCGCCAGATAAAGTTGTCAGAGTAAACAATGGAGCAGATCTTACCTACTGCTTTTCTTTGACTTCTGTTGAAAACAGTCATGGTTTCATTTCTAAATCTATTCTTCTTTTTAGCCAAAGCAGAGAACTTTCCAGTTTAAATGATCTTGGTAAGTATAGTTCTTTTTTCTTTTAATTAATTTTTTATTTTTAAACTTTATTAATTAAAAATAACAGATGAATACATGTAAGACATTGCATAATACATACAAAACACCATTAACATATGACAATATATACGTAAAAGTATAACATAGAACAATATATGCATAGAAAAGAAGAAACATAGTAAAGAAGGAAGAATACAGGGAGAGGAAAAGAGGAAAAAAAAGAAAACAGAACATTTTAAAAGTGGGGTTTCTAACTGTCTGAACGGTGAATGTATCTACAAATATGTTATTTTCACATCTTTATTGGTAAGTATAGTTCTGACCATTTATACAGGGAGAGGAAAAGAGGAAAAAAAAGAAAACAGAACATTTTAAAAGTGGGGTTTCTAACTGTCTGAACGGTGAATGTATCTACAAATATGTTATTTTCACATCTTTATTGGTAAGTATAGTTCTGACCATTTCCTGATTAAAGCCTAAAGGTTGGATCATGTCTGCATTCGTGCTATATTTTGTATGAAAGATTTCTATTTTACAAAAGAGGAAATTGGAACTGCTGATCCCATGGACATCCGTATGTGGGGAGAAGCAGTAGGAGCAAGCATCACGCCATCATCACACAAGTGATGCAAATTACATAATTAGCATCATTTGCACAATGACATGAGGCTCGTGATGTCATTGTGGCTTGTTCCAGATGCTTATGGTTGAGCCACGAACTTTGGAACTATCTAGGTCTCACTCCTCCCCCTATTATCCTTCTGTTTCTCCCTGCCCTACCTCTGTACTGTCATTTCTTTCTACTTTTTCTTTCTCCTTTTTTCCCTGGGCACTCCAACAAAGCACTGGGGTATAGCCACCTTGCATTTGGAAAAAAAAAATCATCCTCCTTCTCCTTCTTCCTCTTCTTTCTATTCGACCTGGAAGCATTCGGGTGAATAAACATCAGACGTATTTGCAGGGTATGGTCAAGAAAAGTCAAGGTGACACCCAGGATGGCACAACTGAAGTTCCACCTGGTTTTTATGTTAGTTGCGTGAATTCAGAGGCAGACAATTTGCTTTGCAACATGCCAGCTTCCCATAATTATATATTTAGACATATATACATACAGCTGCCAAGAGTCTAATTGAATGCAGCAAAATATAAATAATGCACACACACACACACACACTTATATACATACCCATATCTACGTATATGCATAAAAATGTTGAAAATCTGAGAGGAAGGGAGCCAAAACAGCATCAGGCAGTGCCAATTGTAGCTTGTAGGCACCGGACTGGGGATCCCATCTTTACAGTGTCCAGGACAGAAGGAACTTTTCCATCACCCAGATACAAAACAGGTCTTCCACTGTCACTATAGTTATTGGAATTACTATCAGAAGCAACTCCCTAGGAAAATTGCCCTTGCAGTATTTGAAAGATTAAGTGGTAAAGGGTGGAAACTTCTGCTATAGATTTTTAGGGTCAGCTTGTCACTCCAGCAGATAAATTTTGGATTCGGACTCAGTTCCATTTTTTATGACACCATCAGGAATATGATGAGCTTTCTGGGTTCAGCGGGGGACAAGCTGAGAATGGACTTCTTTGTAAAAGAGATCATTTTGCTAGCCCCGTTTCAGCTGTGGGGACTGGAGAGGATTAGAGAGGAGAAAGCATTGCCCCCAGTCACAGATAATTGATGGTCTCTAGCTGTCATTTTTCAGAAACCTGCAGCCAGTCCAGATATCAAAACATCATAACAGGTAAGTATCTAACTTTAGGCAAAGAAAAACAAGAATGAATGAGTAGATACTACTCACTTAACTACCATTTCTAGAAATAGATCTAAAATCTCTCTTATAATTTATAAATTGTACTTATCAATAGTCACTGGTTTACCACTACTGTAGTACAATACAAGATATTATTGTAAGGTGTCACAGAATGTCTGTCATAATAACACACACTGCTGTTAAAACTGAAAGGAAAACCTTATGAGGAACAGTTGGAGGTGCTCGATGTGTTTAGCTGGAGAAATCTGTTGGGAGACACAACAGCTCTCATCAAGTATCTGAAGGGCTGTCATGTAGAAGACAGGGCAGACTTGTTCAGGAACCAATGGCTTTAAATTACAAAGTAGATTTGGTTTGGGTACCAGGAAAAAAACAACGAGAGCTGTTCAACAGTGCAACAGACTGCAACAGGAGATGATGAACTTCTTTCACCACTGGAGATATTTAAACAGAAGTTGAGGGTGCTGTTGTAGTGGATTTCTGCATTGGCAGAGGTTTGGACTACTGGAGATGATCTTAAATGTAGCTTTCAGCTCTTACATTCTACAGTCTGATGGATTTTTTTTTAAAAAAAAAGTCTAGTGCTGAGGTTTCTCTGGCTTGTAGAGCACTAGATTTGATCTACTAATCTGTTTTTAGCCATTTGGAAGTTCAGTCTTAACTTGTACACCACAAGCAGCTTATCTACCTGATGTGTATTAATCCATAAACTGTCTTTTCAGAGATACAAACAGAGCAGGACCCTACTTATGTGTAAGTCCTCTATCAATATAATCTTTGGAGTCTTTAGCTGGAATCTTTACTGTTTTAGGCATAAAGATAGATTTATTTTTACTGGTGACCAATGTGCCATTGTGTAATCCACACTTACAAAGGCTGTGGTCCACCTTAATAGAGTCCTCTGTTTAAAGACCTATCAAGCTTGTGTATTAAAAGGGTCTGGTCCAAGTCCAATTTAATAGTGAATGTAAAAAGGGGGCACACTGAGCATCTCAAAATCACAGTTTATTCCTACTTAACTTGGATAATTTTTTTAAATAAGGTTATCATTGCCTTTCTCCTTCCTTTCCTCCCCCCCCCTTTTTTTTGTAGTACAGGTAGGTGGCCACTTTCATCCCAGAGCCTCAAAATGTTTGCTCAGAATTCTTGTGTTAGGGAAGAGAAACACTGGCTTTAGCCATCTTCTAAGCTTCTTGATTCTCTCATACAACCATAAGGCAGCCTTCCTTAGCTAGGCACCTTCCAGATGTGTGAGTGTTTCAGCTTCAACTTTCAGAATTCATTCATTCATTCATTCATTCATTCATTCATTCATTCATTCATTCATTCATTCATTCATACAATTTGGCAACAAGGTTGGGGAAGGCTGTGAAGAACCTCTGTTCCAAGCAGGGAGAGCAGTTTGATTGTAGAACTAAGGATCCGAAGAGGTGGTGGGCACCTCTTCACTGGATGTTTTCAGGCAGAAGCTAGACAACCGTCTGTCTGAGATGCTCTGATTTGGACTCCCAAGCAGGGGGTTGAATCTGATGGTTTCATAGGCACCTTCCAACTTCATAATTCTACGGAAGGCAATACAGTTTGGAGAGAAGATGTGGGAAAGGTCTTCTTAGCAATGGCACCTGTATCATGAAGTCTTGCTTTGGCTCCTTTTTGAAGCTATTGTGTTGCCTGTCAAAGCCATTTTAAAATTGGCTTCTCAGCATTCAAATTAGATTTATTCTTATCTTAGCTCAGCCTTCTGTCATCAGCTACTCTTTGAATATGTTGCAGCTGTAAATCCCAGAGTCTCCAGCTATTAGCAGTGATGGCTGGAAATTTTGGAAGCTTCAATTCCAATGTATCCTGAAGATGGCAGGTGGTATAATTTATAATTTGCCTTTGTTTTTTTATTTTGCAAGTTAGAGCATGTTTGTATATGAATGGGGGCGATAAGAGTTATTAACATCTGACCAGGATAGGGGAAACCCCAGTTTAAATCCCCACTCAGACTAGATAGCCCAGACTGAGTGATCTTTGTTTTGCATTTTATCTTAGTCCATCTTATAGGCTTGTTGGGAAAATAAGTTTTATACCATTCTGGGCCTCTTTGAACAAGGATGGGAAATCAGCCACAGGTATTGATATTCTATTATGGTTTCTCTCCAACCCTCTGCCCACACCCTTTTCTATTCTAGTGAGCCCATCTCTTCAGATCATTACTACAATTCCCAAAAAGTCACAAGACTATCAAGTGGTAAGTGGACAAGACAGGTTAACTAACCCATAACCTATAATCCACCTTTGGCCCTGATAAGGTGGCACTGCCCCAGATGGACCCAGTGCACAATCTTTTGGTCCTCTTGGACTCACGACTCCTGCTGGAAGAGCAGGTGGTAGCCGTGGCTAAGAGGGCCTTTGCACACCTTTGGGCTGTGCGCCAGTTGCACCCATTCCCGGACCAGGAGGCTCTGCTCACTGTCACTCATGCCCTTGTGACCTCCCGTCTGGACTAGTATGTTTCTGGATGCAATTCAAGGTGCTGGTTGTCACCTTTAAAGCCCTTCATGGCTTGGGACCGGGTAACCTGAGGGACTGTCTTCTTCCAGTTGTTTCTACCTGTCCAATCCAGTCCAGCAGGATGGGCACACTCCGGGTCCCATCAGCCAAAGAATGTTGGTTGGTGGAGACCAGGAGGTGTGTCTTTTCTGCCATAGCACTTGCCTTCTGGAACATTCTCCCTCCAGAGGTTAGGATGGCCTTGACCCTATTGGCCTTTCATAAGGCCTTGAAGACCTGGCTATGTGCCCGGGCCTGGGGTCCCAAGTGTGTTAAGGGCCCCATTTCCTGGTTATGTTAACATCCATGGATTATAATTTTCTCGGCTGCTGTATATATTTAATTTTTTTTTGTATGTTATTGTGTTTGTAATTTGGTTTTAATTGATTTAATGATTATTTGCTGCCCAGAGTCATTTGCTTGAGATGGGTGGCCATGCAAATGGAATAAAATAAATAAATAAAATCCACTAATCTCTGTGTAGCAATCACACCAAGTTGTTTTCTATGGCCTTTACTTTTGTTAATGAAGGACAGACATAGCCTAGGAGGAAAGTATGGGCAGGACTGCAACACTTCTGACACTGCACACTTGTGTTCATGAGTGAGTGTCTTGCCAAGTTCAGTGGTTCAGGAAAGTGGACCTCAGTTTCAGCCGATGTAAATAAATTTAGTATGTGATGCTCTGTATTGCTGTTTTATCTGGTGTGTATAATGTGTGCATATGTATACATCTATTCACATAGGAATCTGGAATTTTGTGAGCATGTAATAAGTATTCATAAAATAATAGTTGCCATGGAGAGATTTGCCTCTTCACACAATGGCTGCCAGAGATCCTCTTCTACAGTAGTTTCTGCCTAGATACTCTCAGCTAATCTTTGCGTTTTTTTCTATCTGATGGTCACTTTGCCAACAAAGCATTAAGCTACAGTCCCCATCTACCTTCTTTGTTTCTTCAGAATGCCCATAGGACCAATGGGGGACCAAATACATATTTTGGAAATAAAGTTGAGCTAAGATATTTAAGTAAAGGTATGTTTCATGTAGAAAGAATGAATTCCTATAGAGATGATAAAGAACCATCATAGAGAGCATCAGGGGTATTTGTGGGAAAGGCAAAAAAGGAGTCAAGATGCTGGGTGCAGTCACAGCCCTGCTTGTTTATATATGACACATGTAAAAAGAATTCACACGTTTGCAGCCACAATCTTGACTGCACCGCCCCCTGCCAATGGACACCCTTAAAGGGCATCAGTCTGATCTCCTGAGTCAGGGATCCGTCATTTCTCTTGTCCTCACTAATCATAATTCCAGGCTTACTGAAAAGGCCAGGGATTGAATTGGAGACTTTCGACTTGCAAGCAATGTGCTTTACCCACAAGGCCCTTCTTTTGCCAGCCTCACAGAAGACATGAAGCACCATTCAGATCTTCATCTAAATGCAGAAAGCAAGTGGGAGGGGTGGGTGTGATTCATCTGTCATAACATATGACAGGACTAGGGGCTCTGCCTCATCAAAGGTTTTGTTTTGATAGAATAACCATACACTCATCCAGTTTGCAAGCACTTATCGTTTAGGCGAGAGCCACTTTGGTTAAGGCATCAGTCTAGAAACCAGGAGACTTCTAGTCCCACCTTAGGCACAAAGCCAGCTGGAAGACCTTGGGCCAGTCACTTTCTCTCAGCCCTAGCAAGGAGGCAATGGCAAACCACTTCTGAAAAACCTTGCCAAGAA